TGTCTCATTTACAAAAATGTGTTACAGAAAATAAGGTAAGAGGGACATTACACAGCAGGAAAAACATGTCGACAAAAGAAATGTTTAGCACGTTTAGCACGTGCATAGCGACGCTAAATCGTGGAGTGTAAAGTCCATCAGAACTAGCTGTGGGCGGGGTGGGTGAGGTGACAGGCGCTAAGAGGAGGGGAGGTAGCGGGTGGGACGGCGTGTGCGTATGTGTGTCTAGGGAGTGATGCTGCCTGCTGACCTGGTCATCCATTAGACAGGGTCCATCCATCCAGCCCCCAGCACACACCGCCACCTCCTCCACCCCCCCCACCCGAGGCCCATCATTGCGGCTTTCTGCCAGGCCTGGAATCTCCACATTAATTTCTCATCTGTGGCGCCCTAATGAGCTCCGCCTGCTCGTCCACCTCTGAGACCTCAGTGATTATCAGACAGGGGGGTGACCATTTGTCAATGGCAAGAGGTGGCATTTACACTGCTGACCTTGCTGCCAAGGAGAGCGGAATCAAAATTAGCGGAGCAAAGAACAGAAAAGCCATCAGAAGCTCTGGAGAGCAGCCGCCGCGCGCAAACACGATCCGCTCAAGGATGCTGTCCAAACCTCCGTCTGTCTTTTGTTGCTGCTCCTTTTGGTGAAAACTGCTAAACTTGTATTTGCACATTCACACAAACTTGATAACTGAAGTGTAAAAGCAGAATAATCCTATTGTGCTTTTGCGGCGGTGAGCGGAGGCCCTCGGTTTGCTGCAACACAGAGCGGAGGGCGGTGCGCACCCCTCGGTGGGAGCAGGGATTTGCCGGTTATTGGATGGAGGGGAGCGGTGTAGGTCTGTGACACCCGCTAACCTTGGCCAGTGCTGCTGGGACTTGGAGGGTATCCATCACCGTGGCAGCCCCGAGACCCAGAGCGGGGGGAAAAGCCACAGAAGTTGCCGGGGGAGGGAAAAAAGCTAGTAAAAATTTAATGCACTCCGCAGAGCAGTCATGTCATACTTGGTTATGGAAAATAATCCCAGATGCCTGCAGTGCTAAAATGGAGCTGTAATGTGCTCGCCTCCTAACCCGGCCTGACAGCCATGATGTACGACTACCATTACCGGAAAATATCACTTCAACTAACCCGTGATCCGGCTCCGCTAAGGGTCATATTATCCATGAGGAACAAATTACACTCCCCCAAAGTAAATACAAATTTCCTACACTGACTGGGTACAAAGCACAGAGCGGGGAGGGGGCAGGCGGGAATGTTACCTATGACAACGCTCTGCAGAGTGACAAGGATGATAAAGTACATGACAAATCACTGGCTGACAGGGTACTCTAGTGCAATCAGCCTCAGCCTCGGCCTAGCGAGCACCCACTCAAGCCTGTAAACACTACTCTCTTCCTTTGGAGGGGGCAAAACACATAATCTTTTAACGCTGACAAGTTGCTCTCTCCTTTTTATTACTCATCCTTCCCACTGCGGCGGAAGAGGAAGGGTTTGGGGTGAGGCTGTGTGGGGGGATGGAAGATATAAAACGGTTTTATGTACAGTGCTGCTGAGTGATTGAGAAACACGACTCTTCTGCTATAATTGCCCGAGGGCAAACACAGCAAAACAATAAAGGAGGAGAAACAGCAAATATATTACTGGTTCAGATCTTTATTTTATGTCAAGGACAAACAGGTTCCTGCTTGGATCCCTTGCCTCCAATAAGAGCAAAGCACAGCGAATTACAGCTCTCTGCTGCGCGGCCGTTAATAAGACGCAGAACATTTTCAGAATGGCATTTACAGCTTGTGGCTACTGATAGAGCGAGTAAATAACACTTAGGAAGGTGTGGTCTATAAAAAAGGCCGGAGGCAAGAGGAATAAAAGCTGCGTGGTGATAAAGTTGTGCAGATTACAGTATAGACTCATTGTCTTCGCTGAGGGCCTAAGTGCATGATTGGGGAACAGGAGCACTTGAGCATTAGCGCACATCGGTGCGAAAATGTTTGACGGGCAGTTTCAAGGTGCCACTTAGGAAGAAGGAAAAAAATCACTTAAGCATTCGTGAGTCCAGACAGAGCCGGAGCCTCTTGACTATATTACAAAGATCCAAGACGAGGTGGAGAAATCTACCACTGCTAGATTAAACGTTGAGGGAATGTTTCCGTTTGAAAATAAATGAGGCAGGCTGCACTTACACTGATAAAAAATCCACATTATTATTAATATATTTAAAGTGTGTGGACCTGTCAGAGGCTCCTAAAAGACTTCACTGCTTATGGACCTTTGGAGGATGAGCGATACCTGATGCTACAGAGCTCAGCGAAGTGGAAATGAGCTGTTCTGCACGAGTCCAGGCCCGTGTGACCGCCTGATCCTGTTTGGACACCTCGATTCTGCACCTTGGAGCAAAGGAGGAGCCGAGCCATGACAGACGGTAAACAAGATCATTATTCAGGAAGAACGGCTCACTTCCCCCCACGCATAGTTTCAGCCCCCCAAAAACTGTCCCCCATGAAGGGACAGTTTCATGCACACTGGCTGCTGGGAAAGAGATGCTAACAGTACGAATACAGGGCTAATAATACCAGTGTTGTGCGGCGAGTGACTGCTGATAGGCGTCCTCCTACCTGTCTCCCAGCATGCCATTAACATGTCACGCTGCAGAAGGCCCCGTCCTACGGGTCACTTTGTAATGAGCAAATGCTCTGACAGTTTCCAGCACACGCAGAAACACACTCGCACAGCGACACGGGATCGCGTGCACACGGAGAGCTGTCTCTTATCAGAGCCCGGCAGCTCCACGGCAGAGGCCTTCTACGCCAGGCAGAACATGATTTCTCCTGGGAACACTTTTTCCATTTCCTGCTTTTGAAGGGAAACGAAATAAGCCACGTTTGTCCTCATCTGAATACATTTGACCCATTAAAATGACTCTGCTCTGCCGCGGCGTTGCAAAGGAGACCGCCACGCTCACAGAATGCAAATGACAGCAGCGGCACTGGGCGTAGCGTGCGAGGCTCCTGGCAGGAGCAGATAGTGGCAGGTGACGTGGACTAAGGAGGGCCGTTGAGTGGGAGCTCCAATTACTCCTTACGTTGAGGAAGAACGCGTGAGTCAGCCCTGTCATAGGGGTCCCCGTTTACTAATTCACTCCTCTGTTACTTTAACACACAATTAATCAATGACAGGAAGGTGTAGTCGGTGCTGTTCATCAGGAGCGTAACGTGAGCCAGGGTGAATTAATACAGTCACTGGGGGGATTACCGTGCTCTCGCTCTCTTCCTGAAACAAGAAGGAATTGCCACCGAGACAAGAGCAATTTAAATCGACAACACTGAGTAATGACTCAATTTGCTGCAGAGTCTAAACACTACAAGCAAATGGCATTACTAAATCATTAGAGCACATCTAGCTCTCTGGTTAGAATTCAGTGGCTAATATGGCTGCTTTTACAATCTAAAGTACGCTCAAACTGAGACCTGGATTTTAAAGTGCTTTACAACCAGAATAGCAACAAACGTTTAAACGCTTACAGGTGCTTTTATTTTACCCAACCGTGACCATCCTCATCATTGCATCATCACATGAAAGAAAAACAAGAACCCAGAAGACGAAACGCTGCACGGGCGATGCACGTTTACGCAACGATGTCCAGCGTCTCGTTTGAGGATTCGATCGTGGCTCCTCAGAGCGCTCCAAAAGTAATCGCCGTGACTCGAGCTCACCTCGGGGACATTTTAAAGACAGAGCGCGAGCCTCTCGTACCCGCCCCTTACACAGCTGAGAGGATGATGCATTTCCTCGGAGGTCCTTTACCTTCTAACCAACAAAAATGTCCTCCCGCTCAGTCACCTTTAGCTTTCGGACCTCACACAGAGAGCAGAAGCTCTACCACTGAATCAGATCTGAATCTCTTTCCAACCACATACTCATAAACTCATATCATGTCTATGGTGTCTGGGTACAAAGTCACTTCAAGCATACAAACCTCTGGATGCCGTTCATTTGATTCCTCAGGTTCTGACACTGATGATGACTCCTTTTAGGCTTCTTCTTCTTCTTCTTCTCTCTGGATGTTGAAAAGCTGCTTTTCAGCGTTTGTTTGCAAAATAGGTTAAGAAGCTCGCAGCACCTCTTTGAACGGGGCCAAGAACTCCACGTGTAACTGATCTGATGGACATCATTGACCTCAAAACAACGCCACTATATTCTTACTTACAGCCATAAACGGGCACATTAGCTTCTTTACTTGTGTAACCTTTAAACGTTTGCCAACATCTGTTATGATTTCTTTTCTTCTCTGAAATTACAGGATGCCCAGTACTTGCTCTAGGACACGAGAACACCAAAGCTTAATCACTTTTTCTCCCAGGAGAAAAAATGTATATGAAAAGTTGCTATTCCTGCATCTGGAGTCATTTAGCACTACAGTTTATAGTTTTTGCAACCTTGTAATTGTGTATTTTCCCAGTACAGTCAGTTTAATTTAACCCAAAAACCACTAAAGTAAAAAATAATTAAAGCAAATGAATACATTTAAGAAAAACTGAGGTTGTACACAACTCAGCATCATCAGCTTTTCCACCATGGCCCATGACTTATGTTCTATAACCTGTTGAAGTCCATGATATTCACATAACTCACATTATTTTGGCTTTTTCCCTGAAACACTTCCGGACTTTGTTAAATCTGTAGAGCCTGTTTGCTGCTAATCACTGCTGTGTGTTTCGTTGCTGCTGTAACAATGTAACTGCAACAAAAGTGCCAAAACTGACGCAATGAAGCTCCAACACAGGAAGACGCAATAGATCCTGGCAGGAGGTGGTTTTGCTGGGATTACAGAAACAGAACTACAGTGAAGACAAATGCAGGAGCAAAAAGAGCGCGTCACAGAAACAGACGGGCAGACACCAGCATATAGGTGGATGGATAGATACAGAAATAGACGCCGTGCTGCAGACACGTTCGTCTGTGCTTTAAGTAACAGAAAGCCTGGCTGCCGGAGCAGTCTCATTTAAATGTCATTGAAATCCTAAAAAGCCAGAACAGTTCAATTTAGATTTTGCACATCATTAAGTCATTCATAATTAATGCGCAACTAATTAAGGTTTTGTCATACTTATTAACAGGATGTTTAATTCTAATTACATTCAATTCTCAGTCTTAAAGTAACATTTGGATCTTTTTAAAACACTGATAAAAGACGCTCGAAGGGATTCAAGCACATTCAGCCCAATGTGAAAGTCTTACCTTGTCGTCCTGGTCACTCTCAGTGTCGCACTGCGAGAGAAGGAAAGAGAAAGCTCAAATTAGGAATAAGATGTCCAGTTTGTGGGGTTTTAAACAGTTTGCATTCAATCCCAGTGCGTGTGGTCACCATAATCTCATTCATCTTATCAACTTTTTAATGACAAATTTATCACATAACTTGTATTCTGGACCTGGATATCATCAGATCAGTTCATTAGCTGATCCAAGCAGCAGAATGTGAAATAAAGTGAATTTCTCATGAGCGCCCGTGCCCTTGTTAACACTGGGCACCATGTAAAATTCAGACAGAGCTGGAATCTCCGAACTCTAATCGCCACTGGAATTCTAATAGCATGATGTTGTTGCTGCTTCAGGCTGGGGATGGCAGATTGACACGAGGAGGAAGGGAACTTGGTAATGGTGGGAGGAAAAAGGGGGCTAGATTTCAATTTTTTGTTCCAATTTCAATTTCAAGGTCCACTTAATTCTTTATCAACTAATTAGCGTGATGCTGGGTGAATGGCGGCCCTCGTAGTTGTGCATATGGCTGAGGTGCAGGGAAGCACTGGAGTCAGTAATGAAAAAGGCACTGGGGGGGAATACGGGCAGGGGCTGGTACAGCGTGTGGGCAGGAGCGCGAGGAGGGGTTGGTGGGTGACGATTAAAGTATGGCAGGAGTGAAGGGGGGGGATGATTGACGGCCCACGGAGTGAGCGACAGAAGGCCGTGTCATTTCTTCCTTCCATCTCGTGCTCTTATTTTTTTTTTTGCTGATCTGGGCCCTGCAGAGCTCAAAGGTAGCTGGCTGGGTTTGTGGCTGATCTGCTTCTCGGGCTGGATGGTAAAAAGGGGGCTTGCGAGCTCAGCAGGAGCATAGCATCCAATTTACAGGCCTGTCCCGCACAGCCCAAGGGGCTGCCTGCGGCACACTGCCATGATGGTCAGCTCCAGCAGCTCATAAATTATGCAGAGGCAATAAACGCACTGGGCAAACACTCCTCAGACGTTCCCTGCTCCATTTCGCTCTCACTCCTTCTCCGCCATACATTCCAACCCCGTTTTAAGACAGCGTGCAGGAGCCCTGATAACAAATAAAGATAACGACAGACGACGGTAGATCACGATCACGCGCGGGTGTCTGTGTAATATTAAAAGCTCCAAACTGCGTGCATTTATGCATCTCTTCCAGCTCCTGAGTAAATAGGCGTGTCTGCCTGCATCGCTCTCTCGTGGCCTCCCACACAGACTAACGCCGCAGACGAGATCAACGGCGTTCAGGCTTTTGAGAATGTAGCAACAGCGACGCGACCGAGCACTCATTAGCCGCTTCTCTGTGCACGACGCAAGCAAGCAAGGGGTTCAAATAATTGACATAATTTCAGTTTTCTGCATTGTGTTGTGATCCACGAAAAAAAGGAGTCTAGCCTTTCTTCCCTGTGTTCCCTTTTTGTTCTTATTTTGCTCTCCCTGCTTCCCCCGCTCCTCGGCTGTGCAGCCAATTGCTTTGATTGCCAAGATAGAAGCCGGCTGGAATGACTTGCCCTTGCTTGTGAAGCAAATGGAACATGCTAATGGAACTCATCGTATTACCCGATGCAAAAGTGCCATAGCTCATTACTTTAAGATAAAGGGATATCATTGTAGACGGCAAGCAGAATTGACTTTCTGTGCTGCGACTTGATGATGATTTAATCAACTGCTCTCTTTCACTTCTCATCCCCGAGCCTGTCGCTTTCGCAGGTGCCGCTAAACGAAGCACTCACACGGCTAGTGGGGGAGAGAAAAGAAAAGAAATTGCTGTCATTACTTTCCCCCCCTAGGAATAGAGGTATGCAAATTTCCCAAAGCGACAAAGGGTGGGGGGTGGAAAAGGTGGAAAACTTAATAAAATGGAAATGCCTTTATAATGAGCAAAGTAAAAAAGCCTAAGATCAGGCCTGACAGCCGAGAGCAGGCGATCTGAACGTCCACGACGCCAAAGCTCCCGTGAACTCTGTGTTCGAGCTCGGGCAGGAAGTAGTAAATAATAATATCTCGAGAAGGATAAAAAACAGGTTTGAGGCAGAGCTGTCACTCACTGAGAAGTGATCATAGTGAACGAATGTTTCGCTTCATGCACAACCCGAGGTGGGGAAAAGTCTGAGTACCTGATCAGGAGCCGAGGTCTGCACTTCACAGCTGGAAGTGTCAGGAAACATCGGTACACCTCATCATTAAGACTGAGCATTGTTTTTACAGGTCAGCACGAGCTACAGCTCTGTGTGATACAACAGCTGCTGACATGCGAGCATGAAAAAAACAAAAACCCGCAGCTATGATTAACCACGTCAAAAACACTTTAGAGCAATCCTGGGACGCCGCGGCGACTGAAAAGACATGTGTCAGGCGTTTAAAACGAATCTATTGTACCGAACAGAGAAAAAACAACAAAAGTGGTGCCACTGAGATCACTGACAGGCCGAGGTAGAAGGTCTTATTTAAAGCAACAGTAATGTACAGTAAGGAAACCATTAGTCCTGGGAGAGGGCTGGCAAAGGAAAGTGATAGTCTACCAGGCCCGGTGCCATTTACACAGGACCTGCATTATACTGTACAGCTAGACCCCAGTGTTTAGTTTAAGTAACACAGGAATGTCAAACATTAGCTTCAGCTCTAAAAGCTGTTGATGTTGGCCTGTATCCGGACCACTTCTGATTGCCGCTCTGCTCTCACCCGGGCCTCTCTCTTGGCTGAGTGCTCTTACAAATTTCCCTACACTCTGTCCAAGCATTGAGCCTTTTGTTTATATTGGTCTGAAAGTAGAAGTAAATTATTCTTGTCCTAAATCCTCTCCAGCTGAGAGCAATACTGGCCCAGTAGAAGGGGAACAGAAGGAGCCACGGGCCGAATGCTAAACGACGCAGCCGTGCTATCGTCTGTAACAGCAGGGCACGGCAACGTCTCCTGCCAGAGCTACCCACAGCGAAAAAGTCTGCACTGAAGAGGTAACCACATCACACATGTTTGCGTGCAAAGCAAGTATGCCATGATCTCTTTTCCAGCATAACCTTCTGGATATCCACTGGTCCACAAATACTAACAGATGTTGGAGCAATCAAGAAAAAAATAACATGACAACAATAAAGGTCCAGCAGAGTGTGTTTAGCATGTTCTTGTAATTCCTGATTGGCTGTCTATGTTGCTGCAAGTTGAACAGCGCTCTCTGCGTGAAGTTAGCCTCGGGTTATGCTTGAAAAACTACCATCAGTATTAACCTCTGCCCGTGCCCTTGGAATTAATTATCATTGATATGGTCTTCATTAAAGCACACTAGTGCACAGAGGAAGGTGCCTGTTTATCAAACCGACACTGGATGTCCTGCAGCAGCGCTGAAGGGGTTAAAGCCCAGGGAGGACGCCAACCTGCCTGCAAGCCTGGGAGCTGGAAAGACAGCGTGAAGGATGGCAGCCATTGCCAGGGTCAGCTCTGACACTGCCAATGTGATGTGCTGTCGTCGAGGGCTCCTCAATCCCTCCTCCTAGCGGCTCCTTCCTGATATAGCTGCATGTCCTGATGGTTTTGTGATGCAAACAGTCACATGGCAAAATGGTTTTCTCCCTTCCCGGTGCATCCTCCTCCATCTGCTGCTGGGGCCTGGATGCCTCAGACCGCCTGCCTGTCACAGCGTGCGTGGAAATTAGCTGGGGAGGAGGTGCTCGCTTGTGCTAATTACATTTTAATCATTGGAAATGTGTTGGCAAATCAAGCCTTGATTGCCATCTTGGAGCCCAGTGCTCTTCTCTGCAGGTCGGGGATGGGGGTGGGATGACTTCTGGGGCTAGAATGCGTCTGAGCCCAGACTCGGCAAGCTGGACACCTCATCCTCCACCGCAGCTTGATATGGCGGCGTGCCTGGCCTACTGCTGGGTAGGGGCTGTGCCACATTATTCACTGGGAATAGAGAAAGACCGGGATGGTAAAATGCGGATCTGTGCCATGCATATTCTCCAATCCCCCACTCACACCTCCCATATTTATCTCTCTTTCTCTTACTCCCTTTCGCTTTTGCACCCACACATTACTAAGTCTGCCAGTCCCGCCGCTGTGAATTGAGGAACAACAAACAGAGATGAGCTAGAGGCGACTGATGAGCTCAGGTTTTGCTACACAGCAGCTACTTTGGCAAACAAAACTAGAAAATGAGACTTAAAAAAAAGGCAAAAAACAAACTGACGTAGTTACATTTTCAGCTTTTAAATAAACACAAAATGATCAAGGTTGACAAGAACACTTTGCTCACAGAAAGCTGATTCAGTTTTGATGAACATCTGTGAAAAGCCACGTTTCCTCCGTGATATCCAATGTTACACAACAGACTGACTCACAGTAATGAGCCCCGAAAGGACGCAACATATACGCATCCGGACCCGCATCGTGCTCAAGGGACTTCACACCCACGTGAACCTCAGATAAACTCTGGGATTACTTTACTTTAGCCGCCCGACACACATTAGTTATTACAGGTTGCCTATAAAGGACACCTATAAGTTCAGGGAGTGGAAGAAAGATTAACAAAACTCGCCTCGCTGGGACGGCTCATTTAAAGAAGCCGCGTTCTGTGGCGACGAAATTGTTTCTGCAGCATCTGCTTGATGCCGAACTGCAACATGAACGTACGACGGGAAAGGAAAGTCCCAAAAGAAATCACAGGCACAGCCTGAGTGTTTCAGACTGTCTATACAGTCACATAAGGAAAGTTCTTCTTCTAGGAGCCAAGAATACTTCGTCAGGGAGGACCAGATTTCTGTCTGGACTAATATAAGCAGGTCTGATCCACATGTGCAACGCTGGCCAAATGCAGCAGGCCAACATCTGAACGCAATTTCCCTTCAAATGTAAAACTTCATCCAGAAGATATTCAGTGCGACCGCAAACTCCAGTTTCTAGTCAGGAGGACAGACGAGATAAAGGAAGGAGGGAGGCCAGAAAAATGAAGCTTTCCACAAAGTAACAACAACATTACAGCCTCTGATCTTTGCTTTCAATATTCA